GGCAAAGATAAGATAGATAGAGACAGAGTGATAAGGATGGACAGGCAGACAGAAAATAACCCACAGAGCCCAACGAAATTGAAAAAGAAAAAGAAAAGACAAAAATTTAGAAACAGACAAGGTAGAGCAATATGGTACTATATATGTGAGGACAGAGAGATACAGACCAAGAGGAGAACCATAAGTTTAGTAGAGACAAGTCACAATGAGAAAGAGATAACAATAAAGAAAGAGAGCAATAGAGAAAGAGAGAACAAATAGGAGAGTGAAAAGAGAAACCACCAAAAAGATATAAACAGGGCCTCCTTGGTGGCACACGGGTTAAAGTCTGACCACTATCAAGCTATCACCAACTGTTACAGGGCAACCCCAATATGAAATAGGTTGCCTGACTGTGGGTCTTCACCCGCGCTTTAAAGGGACTTATAATAAGACTCAACTGCAGGCACACACAAAAAGGTTAATAAGGGGTTTATTTACAAAAGAAGGGGAAATGAAGAAATTAATAACTCAGGGAGAAAGAAAGGGAGATTAAATTGGTGAATGCATCCTACCAGTTCCGCTGAGCTGGAACCCCAATAGCATACTGAAAGTCAGTGAAAAATCGAGAGAGGTCCAAGGCCCACATGTTTAGTTATATACCATACCTGGTTGCTTACCTCCACCCTCAGTTCCTCCACCCTCAGTTCTTTGGTGATAATGACATTAAGGGATTTGTAGTTCTTGGCATCTTGAATCAGTTTGGTGGAGTGGGGGTGGAGTCCATAAAGTCTGTGTTTGTGGTTTGTGGAGTTCTTTCAGGGCATCCATTCCCCCCAACACAGCCATTGCAGCCTGAGTTCGATCCCAGGTCAGCGTGATGCAGACCTCTCCTGTCTCACCCACTGCTCCCCTCAGCAGTGTATTTCAGTAGACCTGCCTGTTCTACTCCTCACTACCTCTGGTGAATCCTCTCACCTCACCCGCCACCCCACACCTCTGGCCTACAGTCCAGTTCTTGTATGCATAAATACAAGAAAATAAATCTTTAAATTAAAATATATAAACAGAAGGGCAAGAGAAAGGAAAAGAGACAAAAGACAGGGGGTGTCTGAGAGGTAGTAACAATGATGGTGAACTGTGGGAGTGATTGGGGATTAAGAAAGGAATATAGAGATAAAAGAACGACATTGTTTTGACCAAACAACCGTACACAAGTTTCTCGGGGATGTATCAGGGCTGGCATTGGACTATGTGCTACCTATGGACTGTGAGTCCAGGCAGGGCCCTGGTCTTTGTTATTCACTACTACATCCTACACCCATAATCAAGTAGAGGGCTATAATTTATTAAACATTAGTTACCTGCGACTTTTCATGCATTTGCATGAGTTATATCATCAAACCCTCTCAACTCTGATGTGATTGTGGGTATTATTATCATCCCCAGCATACAGATGGGGTAACTGAGACTCAGAGTGATGTATAACTTGTCCAAGGTTGCACAGAGGAGACAAAAGTGTAGGCCCAACCTAGACCAAGAATTAGGATGAATCTTGTTCTATGCACCCAAGGTACAAAAAAAAGCTCCAGTCTGCCTAATTCAGCTCCAGTCTGCCTACATGTTTGACCACTGTGCCACACTTCTCCAGTGAAGGAGGCTGACCTAGCTAGTTCAGAGAGCTTAAAGCTGGATTTCCTTGGAGCACAGTCATGGGATCCTCTTACTTTCTATTTGCTCTGTTTCAGACTGACCTCTTTTCTCATGCCTTTTATTTATTTATTTTTAAAGATTTATTGATTTATGCATACAAGAGCTGGGGTATAGGCCAGAGGTGGGGGGTGGTCATGAGAGGATTCACCAGAGACAGAGTGGGAAGCAGAAAAAGCATATTGACTGAAATACACTGCTGAAGGGAGAACCAGGCAAGACAGGAGAGATCTGCTGTACCATGTGGGTTACTCCCTGGCTGGCTGGGGATCAAACTTGTGTTGCAATAGTTGCAGATTGCTTCACAGTGCTGATGCTTAACCCTTGACACCACTAGGGAGGCCCCTCTCATGCCTTTTAATGTCATCTCTATATTATCAATTCCCATTCATATCTGAAATCTCTCCCCCTGGGATGTATATACCGCTACCTACTTAACTTCTCTACTTGCCTAGAACGGAACTCTTCATCTTCCCCTGAAAAATCCGTTCCTCTTTCTGCCTCATCTCAATGAAGAATTGAAAATGTCCAGCCCTGATAGTGTGCAGACTTAGGGGTACCCCTGGACCCCCAAACTTGCATTCTCTAAAGAGGTTCTGTCATCCATCACATAAAGACAAAGCATTCTCTTAGTAGGAAAGAACTTTAATAGGAGTAGTGTGCATAATGAGAAAAGATAATAGTTTCCCAATAAAACACCCAAAGTTACCCATCCCCTTGTGGGTAAATGGCCAGTCAAACAAAGTTGACCCAGAGAGGGGCTGCTGAGGCCCAAAAGCTTGCTTTAAGTCTTAAGCACATTCATAAGCATAAGTCATAAGTCATAAGCACCTTCTGGCAGGGAACCACGGGAAAAGGGGCAGAAGGGACCAGGCAAGTCTGGGACGAAAGGAGAAAATCAAATCAAGATAAAGGCTGTCATTATCAGCCTCTCACCCACATGTATTCCAAGTGTTTCTTCACGTCTTGACTTTATGTGTCTCCTTCCATGTCCTCCAGGCCCCTGCTATGTATCTAAAGCTCAGAAACAAGTAGAAATACCTCACATCTCTCTGTTCCAAGTGCCTCCTCCAAGTCTTCTCTAAGTCTACTCTAGCTTCTCAAAGCTCAGCTCCACCCTTCATTAGGTAGGGCAGAGAACACAGAACCTCCCCTTTTTATGGAGATCACTCTCTGTAACAGCCCCATGTCAGATCCTAGGGGGCATCCTTGGTTTATCCCTCTCCATTCCACCTGCAAGCCACCACTCCAAGTCCTTTCAATTCTAAGAATCTCTCAAATCTGTTCACACCTTTCTCCATCTGTAACAGGTTGGTGCCCAGGAAAAGAAGCTCCAGGTTCCCTGCCCCACCCAAAGGAGGGGGTTGCTGAGAGAGAAGAAGATGAAGAGGAGACTAGGGAAGGAAGGAAACAGGATGAAGAGTCAAAAGGAGACCTGGAGGAAGCACATGGAGCAGAGAGACTTGTGAAGAAGCTGCGCTTGCCTTTTGGTCATGGACTGGTTGCAACAGATGTGGGTGAGAGACCGTGGGGAGGTTAACAATGGCAGCTTTTATCTTGATTTTGATCTTTTCCTCCCAGACTTGTCTGGCTGATTCTGATCCTTTTCTGTGGGTCCCCGCTAGATGGTACTTTAGCTTATGTCAGGCTTTCAGGCCTTGCTCTGGGACAATCCCATTTGGCTGGACTTTTACCCACTAGGGGATGGGTAACTTTGGGTGCTTAATTTAGAAACTATATTCTTTGTCTTTTCTATGTTGTTTACTAATTGTATTAAAGTTCCTTTTCATTAAAGGTCTTATATGTTTTGTCTTGATGCAGCAGATGGCAGAACCTATTTAGAGCAGGCAGGTTTGGGGGTTCTGGGGTGCCCTCTCCCTGCCCTGTAACAGATTTGGCACCCAATATTGGGCAGAGCCATCCCTGGTAAGTGCGGCCCCATGGGGAAGGTTGAATTCCCCATGGCACTGGCTACCATAAGAGCAAATGTGTTTTTTGGTTTCTCTAGTGTGTTTGTTTCAGATGTAGAATTGCTGTTGAAAAAAACTGGCTTGGGCCTTGTGATAACTCTGTGCGTCTGTGTGTAAGTATGTAGTCACTTGCTAAGATGTTTGATTTTGTGAAAATTTTTCTATGTAGGAGTTTCACTCAAAAGATGGTAGTATGGGGCCTCCCCTGGTGGTGCAGTGGTTGAGCACTGGGCTGTGAAGCTACCCACAGCCTCTGCAGTGCTGGCTCGATCCCTGGCCACCAGCGAGGGTCCCACATGGCACTCAGACCTCTCCTGAAGCACCTGCTGCTCCCCTCAGCAGTGTATTTCATCAGTCTGCCTGTTCTGTTCCCCACTCTGGCTCTGGTGAATTCTCTCACCCTCCCGCGCTTCTGACTGTACCCAGTGCTTGTATAAATGAAAAAATTAATTTTAAAAAAAGGATGGTAGTATGTTGGGCCATGTGGCCAGATTAAAGATGGGGTCTGAGTCCACTTGGGCTCTTCTAAAACTCAGAGGTTCTTGTTGCTAGGACTTTGGAACTTTTTTTGTGATCTCTGCTGTCTCATTAGCATTTCTAAAGGCAATAAATGGTTCTTCAGTGATATGTTGCTTTGACTTTGGTTTTGACTTTGACCAATTTCTGATCTCTGCCTTAGGGGTTTTGCAAGCCAACAATGGAGCAAAATTGGTTTAAATTAGCAAATGTATGCTTGGTGCTAAGGAAAAAGTAGCCTTGACCAACAACTGATAATTATTGGTAGCCTTGATGGATTCTTGAAAATAACTTGAATTTTTGCAAAGTCTAGATCAGAAAAATTAAAAAGATTATGTCAGAGTCTGAAAGGATTTGCTGCTGTGAATTTTGTCTCCACAAGTTGTTTTGAGCATGTTTGCCATTTGAATTCTGGATTTGTTTGATTGCTGGTGTAAGTCAAGATTCTAAGAATCTAGGGCCTCCCCGGTGGTGCAGTGGTTGAGCGCTGGGTTGCGAAGCTGCCTGCAGCCTCTGCAGCGCCGGTTCGATCCCCGGCTGCTCCCCGGCCACCGGAGGAGGGTCCCGCATGGCGCGCAGACCTCTCCTGCCCCCCGCTGCTCCCCTCAGCAGTGTACTTCGGTCCTTCTGCCTGCTCTGCTCCCCGCTCTGGCTCTGGTGAATTCTCTCACCCTCCCGTGCTTCTGACTGTACCCAGTGCTTGTATAAATAAATAAATAAATCTTTAAAAAAAAAAGATTCTAAGAATCTATTTCCCACTGAGGAAGGTCTGTTGTGGAAAGCACTCTTTATGGTGCATGATGTAACTGTACCAAGTTTTCATACCTGTGTTGTTGCTGTTCCTCCCCAGTGTGTAGGAGGTATAATCTTTACTTTGATGTTGAATCTGCTCTTTCAGCTCAGTCCCAGAGTGGCTAACAGAAATAAGGAGATGGATGACTCCTTTCGATTGAAAGTTAACTGCTGATGTTTTGATTTTGCTTTTTCAGGTTCTCTTCCAGGAAACCCAAGGACTGCCTGTTTGGTAGAAAACGAGAGATGACTCCTTTAATCTAAAAAGTTAACTGTTAATTTTGCTCTTTCAGCTGCTGTGCAGGATACCCCAGGATTGACTTCTAATAAAAAGGCTTGAACACCAAAAACCCTGAAGTGATAAACAAGGTCGTATAACTCTTGTAATTAATAAAAACTTTTTCCCCCTATTTCCAAAGTCTTCGGTTTGTAGGATGACAACTAGAACCTGTGATTTCTGCCAGGAACACTCCACGTTTTGAGGGGTTTTTGTTACAGGGCAACCCCGATATGAAATGGGTTACCTGACTGTGGGTCCTCACCTACACACTTAAAAAGGACTTATTAATACTCAACTGCACACACACACAAAACGTTAATAAAGGGTTTATTTACAAAAGAAAGGGAAATAAATATCTCAAGGAGAAAAAAGAGGGAGATAAATTCGTGAATGCTTCCGACCAGTTCACTGACCTGGAATCCCAATGGCACGATGATAGCTGGTGAAAAGGCTGAGAGCTAGCAAAAAGCCAAGAGCCTTGGGGCCAAGAGAGTGAGCTAAGGCCCACATGTCTGGTTTTATACCAAACCTGGCTGCTTAACTCCACCTTAAGATCCCAGCAACACTCCCTTTGGTGATGATGGGATTTGTCATTCCCAATGTCTTGATGGCTTTGGTCTGGAGTGGGGGTAGAGTCCACAAAACCTGTATGGAGTTTGCTCAGGACATCCTTTCCCCCTAACAGTTTGAGATTTTTTTCTGAGCCTATGGAGTAAAACTGCAGTTACATAAGATATTCCATGTGGCATAACTAAGAAAACGGTCTGTGTCTATATATTGTATGTCAGTAGGTCCATTCCTTGTGCCTAACTGTCTTGGCCTCGTAAAACTGGTTGAGATGGTGCCTATAGACATTGTGGGGGAAAAATGTAATAAAAACTGGTGCAAGTGTTTTGAGAACACATGATGTAAAATAATTTTTGATTAATAATAACTAATTTGTAATGTAATGGGTTGTTTTAAAACAGGCACTTACAAGGTTGTATTGGGTATAATTTTATCTATTGTCTGGGTTAATGATGTTGGGTACATGTCTTCTAATTGTCAGAAAAATGGGAGTCTGGAAAATTCAAGGTTTTTGGACTGAGCCAGAGCTTTCATAGAAATCAAATATTGTTGTAGCTGCTGTTTTCTGATATTTATGGCAAAGCTTCCCAGAAATCTAAATTCAAGCAAAATTTTGGTAATCTGTCATTTGGTTGATCAAAGGAAATTTTATGGAACCTCACTAGAGCTCCAGAGATACTCCATAAAATTTCCCTTCCTCCTGGGAAAGGTATTAGATGAATTTGTCCTATTTGGCTTACCTAGTAAAGTAAAACTGGAAAAGGGAAGCATTGTCACTTGGAAAAAAGGTAAAACTTTGGCATGTACAAAAAATGTTGACATTGGGGCCTCCCCTGGTGGCGCAGCTGTTGAGCGCTGGGCTGCGAAGCTGCCCGCAGCCTCTGCAGCGCCAGTTCGATCCCCAGCCACCAGTGAGGGTCCCACATGGCACGCAGACCTCTCCTGCCACTCCCGCTGCTCCCCTCAGAGGTGTATTTCAGCGGTCTCTCTGTTCTGTTCCCCGCTCTGGCTCTGGTGAATTCTCTCACCCTCCCACGCTTCTGACTGTACCCCAGTTCTTGTATAAATAAATAAATCTTTTTAAAAAATGTTGACATTGGCTTTCTGAAACATATAAAACCTTTCAGTATCTGATATGTATGTAAATTTTCAATTTTGATTGTCCTGCAATACTGGCTATTTCAATGGTATGATATCTGCAGAAATTGTTTCTGGAGAAATTAAGGCGGAAAAGATCTCAACTGATGCCAATTGAGGGAAATTTTGACAGTGAAAATTTCTTACAACGGACTGAATAGACTATTGGAGATAAACCTGATTTTTACTAAGTTTTGTTTGACATAATACTGGTAATTTTTTGCATTTTGTTTTGTATCAAAGAAAGTTTTCTTGTTTTGGTTGACCAGGAACTACAGCAATGTTGCATTTTTTTCCAGCAGAGCTAACTTGCATTTTCTCTCCCCTTGATACCAACACAGTATGTAAAATAGTGGTAATAATTTTTACTACTCAGTGCAGTCTATTTTTGCATAACTGCAATAGGGAATTTTGTCTGTTTAAACTAGAAAATTGGAAATGTGTTTCATTCTGTGACTTTGATTGGAATTCTTTCAGGAAGTTGAATTTGGGCTGAACCAAGAAGAGGAGAACCTCCTATTTTTGTTTGTAGGGTTCCAGAGACCTCAAAGAAAGGTGAGGAAGCTGCCTCCATTGGCAGGACTGAACAACCCAGAAAAAGAAAAGCTCCTGGTAACCTCGAGAAGAGGAAACCCCAGGTGGAGTCTGGGAGTATCGACTTTGTTCCTGAAGCCTGCACAGACCTGATGTCAAGAGTTTCACTCTGGGGCCTCCCCAGTGGCGCAGCAGTTGAGCGCTGGGTTGCGAGGCTGCCTACAGCCTCTGCAACGCTGGTTCGATCCCCGACCGCTCTCCGGCCACCAGAGGAGGGTCCTGCATGGCGCGCAGACCTCTCTTGCCACCCGCTACTCCCCTCAGCAGTGTACTTAGGTCCTTCTGCCTGCTCTGCTCCCCGCTCTGGCTCTGGTGAATTCTCTCACCCTCCCACACTTCTGACTGTACCCAGTGCTTGTATAAATAAATAAATAAATCTTTAAAAAAAAAAAAAAAGAGTTTCACTCTGGTGGCCTCCCTGGTGAAGCAGGGGTTAAAGGTAGTTCTCATCAAGCTATCACCAGCCACTGCAGCAGGAGTTAGATCCCCAGCTGGCCAGGGAACAATCTACATGGTGCAGCAGACCTCTCCTGCCTTGCCCTCTGCTCCCCTCAGCAGTGTATGTCAGTAGATCTGCCTGTTCTGCACCCCACTCTCTGGTGAATCCTCTCACCTCCCTGCACCTCTGGCTTACACACCAGTTTTTGTATGCATAAATAAATAAATCTTTAAAAAGTTTCACTCTGATCCTATATGGAGTATTACAACAAAGCCAGCTAAAATTTCTGTTTGGTTATTCTGCCCTGTGACTTTATGCAAAAAATAGGTAAAATGGTCTGAAAGTAAATTTAGTTTGTAAATTTTTGCTGTACTGTTGGATAAAATTGGGATCAAGGTGGAAAGAACTTGTTTTTAAAAAAAGTTAAACTAAAGTTTTTAAGAAAATTTTTCTTCCTGTGATTTTGATATATTTGCTGTCTTGTTTTGGCTAGTGCCTCCAGATGTTTTTCTTTTGGCATGGACTGACAGACTATCTTCCAGTAATGGAGGACTGTCATACTGGACATACATGGACAAGGCTCCTTACTTATTGTTGCTTCTCTTACATACATTGGGACCCTGAAAAAGACTGTCTCCTAAGACTGCACCTTGAGATCTGTGGCATCATAGATATGGTGGTATAAAAATTAAAAGGGGGTATTGTAACAGGGTGGTGCTCAGGAAAGGGGGAAGTTCCAGGTTCCCTGCCCCACCCAAAGGAGGGGGGAGCTAAGCAGAGAGAAGAAGAAGGAGAGGAGACTAGGGAAAGAAGGAAGCAGGATGCAGAGCCAAAAAGAGACCTGGAGGAGGCACATGGAGCAGGGAGACATGTGAAGAAGCTGTACTTGCCTTTTGGTGGTGGAATAGTTGGAACACATGTGGGTGAGTGACCTGTGGGGAGGTTAACAATGGCAGCTTTTATCTTGATTTTGATCTTTTTCTCCCAGACTTATCTGACTGATTCTGATCCTTTTATCTGCATCCCCACTGGAAGGTGTTTTTTATACCATTTGGCTGGACTTTTACCCACTAGAGGATGGGTAACTTTGGGTGCTCGATTTAGCAACTATATTCTTTGTCTTTTCTATATTCTTCACTCACTAATTGTATTAAAGTTCCTTTCCATTAAAGGTCTTCTATATTTTGTCTTGATGCGGGGGATGGCAGAACCTAATTAGAGCAGTCAGGTTTGGGGATTCTGGGGTGCTCCTCTCCCTGCCCTGTAACACATATCCACTGCTACCACCTTAATTCATCATCTTTGACTTCAGTAGGCTCTTACCTTGTCCATCTCCAATCCAATCTACAGCAGCCAAAATAATCTATTTTAATAGTTAACCCTGTCAATCCCAAATTTAAAGCCTTTTAGTGTCATGTTATTTCAGCATTGGGAGGATGTGAAGTACCTACTAAAAGATACTATTTCCTTGTGTTAAAATAATACCAAACTGAAATAAAAGTTTCATGAAACATACTTACCTTTCCTACATTACCCTGTGATATATTTTGATATTTTCTATTTTCTTTTTTTTTTTAAAGACCCATTTATCCATGCACACAAGAACTTGGGCACAGGCCAGAGATGCGGGGCGGGGGGGGGGTGAGATTCACCAGAGACAGAGTCGGGAACAGAACAGCCAGACCAACTGAAATACACTTCTGAGGGGAGAAGCAGGCGAGACAGGAGAGGTCTGCCTCGCCATTTGTGAATCTCCCTGGCCGCCCGGGGATCAAACTCGTGCCCCAGAGGCTGTGGACCACCCCATAGTGCGGCAATCAACCCCCTGCACCACCAGGGAGGCTGATATTTTCTATTTTCTCAAATTCATTTCAGTATCTTCTGCAGTTTGACTCACTTAAAGAGCACTGCTTCAATGCCTTTCAATTGATCATAGAATAATATTCATCCTTTCTACCATGGCCTTTAAATCCCTCAATAATCTGACTCCTACCTACCTCTTCCACCCCATATCCCACCCATCTTGCCCTCAGTTCATGTGCTCCAGCAACACTGGCCTT